CATGCGTGGAATAAGCCACGCCCCCACCGGACATAATGAAGTCCCGCATTGCCATGGCAACGGGGCATCCTGTGGAGGTGCTATGGAAACAGAAAGTAACATGCCAAAAGGGAGGAATTTCTGGCCACCATGTTGGCGCAGGCATTTTTTGCTTCTTGTTGCACTTTCAACAGATCTTGGCATATGTAGCCCCTTTCAAGAAATTTTTCCACTATTTCTTCGATTTGTTCTTCCATCTTAAGTCTGTCCGAGTTGTTACGTGCTACCCTAAGGAATTGTGCTTTTGGTAATGATTTCTTCAACATTCTTGGGTGTGCACTGTTATTGTGTAACAATGTGTTGCGGTCTGTGTCTTTTTTATATAAGCAGTGTGTAATTTTGTGTTTTTGGATCGATATTTCCAAATCTAAATATTGTATCGAAGAAATTCTAATATTAGATGTAAATCCAATCGGCGTATCAAGATCATTCAACTGCTGAACCATTTCCATCACTTCCAATTCAGTGCCTTTCCAAAAAAATCAACAAATCATCATATTTGAAGTAGTTATTCTTCAACGTTAATGAAAACAACTCCAGCACATATTCAACTGGCGGTCCACTGTACGTGGTGACGGAGCAAAGAGTTTGTCTCATGGCGTCAATTCCTTCCTCATGATGAATTACTGTATAGAGATTCCTCACATCCATCGTTATCAGGACTATAGGGTCTCTACCAAGATCTAGTAGGTTCATTTTAGCGATGAGTGTCGGTGCATCCTTGATGCAGGTTTGTATTTAGGCGCTTGAAAAAGATGATCAAGCCATTTGGCAATTGGTTCTAATATCCCTCCAATCGCAGATACTATGGGCTTTCCTGGTGGCCTGATGGAATCTTTGTGTATTTTTGGTATACTGTATATGATTGGGGTTCTGGGGTTTCTTTTCAATAGAAAATTATATAGCTGTAGGTCTATGTAACCTGCTTCAAGTCCCATTAGTAAGGTGTTCTCTATAGCTGTCATAATTTGATTGGTAGGGTCCCCTGGAAGGGTTTGGTAGACATCCTGATCTTGTAATTGTCGCCTTAGGTCTCCTGCATAATACGTATAGTCGATGACTACAATTCCTCCCCCTTTATCAGCAGATCTAACCACAATTGTGGGATCTTCAGCTAGTTGTTTAAAGGACCACTATAGTGCCAGGAAAACATACTCGTTTTCCTGGCACTATAGTGCCCTGAGGGTGCCCCCACCCTCAGGGACCCCCTCCCGCCCGGCTCTGGAAGGGGGAAAGGGGTAATAACTTACCTTTTTCCAGCGCTGGGCGGAGAGCTCTTTGCCTCCTCTCCGCCTCCGATCCGCCCCGCCGGCTGAATGCGCACGCGCGTCAAGAGCCCTCACACACAGCACCCCTCTTACATACACACACTGCGCCCCTCACACATACAATAAGTCCAAATATATATATATATATATATATATATATATATACGCACACACACACACACACACACACACTACAGCACCCCTCACACTGCACCACACATTACGCTCCAGATACACACTACATCCCTTACTCTATATGCACTCTTTATCCTCTATACACACACACACTGGGTCCTTTACACAGTAGATCTCCTACACACACACACTACATTCCTTGTCAGCAAACACATACAACATTCTCTAAACACACCCTCTCTGCAATCCCTACACACACTACGTCACCTATACACACACACTTCAGCCCGTATGCACACACTCGCTGCATCCCCTATAAAACTATGTCCCCTATACACACACTCTCTACAGCCCCTAGCCACACATATTACACCACAAACACAAATTAAATTGACCTATTTACACAATACCACACCACACTCTAAACACATGCAATCCCACAAGCAGGCTCCAAACATATGCACCATGCACTTTCCTGGCCCTTTTGTCCTCTGGTATCCCACTTGTGGAGACACCAGAGACAATTTAAAAGCAAACACAGCGCAAGCATGTTATTAAATTTGCTTGCGCTGTGCAGAACAAATTCAGGGCCTTTTTCTAATACCAGAGCTCTTCAGCAGGGCTCTGGGCATTGAACCAACATGCTCACTTTGAGAGGGGGCGTGCTTGTCATTAGTGATGACAAAACACACACTCTCTGGCCCCGCCCCCTTCTTAGGGGGCCGCTCTGATTGAAAAATGCCCGGGCCTAATTTTATTCCCAGTCCGGCCCTGCCTGTCATTACAGGCACTCCCGCTGCTGACATTGCAATGGACGGCTATGCCGTCCATGTAATCGTCAGGTCCTCGCAAGGACCTCAGATCCCATGGCTCAGGGGGCCGAAACGGACGGAGAGGGACTCCCTGGGCTTCCAGGTGAGTCCCCACACCCCGATCGCCGGCGACCGATAAGTACATAGGACGGCGGGGACATGCTATGCCGCCCCCCCCAGCGTTTAGAGCCGGGTCCCCCAGGACAGCATAGCACGCCCGCCGTCCTTAAGGGGTTAAACCATTTTGTTTTCATGCAGTCTGTGTTAGTCAAAGCCAGGTGTGGTGTGGTTAGGGCTGCATAAACAGAAAAAAAGTGATTTAACTCTTTTTTGTTTTCCGTTTTGGTCTACTTTTCTTTACAATGTTGCTTCAGCTCATTGAGGTTTGCATCACATTTGTTTATGCACATCTATCTTAAGGTCCTGCCACAGCATTTCAATCACGTTGAGGTCTCAACTTTCACTGGACCATTGCAACACCTTGCTTTTTTTCTTTTTCAGCCATTCTGTTGTAGATTTCCTTTTGTGTTTGGGATCATTGTCCTGTTGCATGACCCAATTTCAGCCAAAGTTTAGTTTTTGTTTGGAAATGGCCTTATAACCTTTCCCAGTTTGATGTGCAGCAACAATTGCTTATATAGGATTAACAATTATTTCTTTCCTCCTTGTCATTGTGTTGCTCTGTCTAGACTATCAAACTGAGAAAACTCGATTTTTATAAAGGTTGTTACACTTTCTGATGATCAATTAATTTACTTCCCTTACCTTTTGTGTCCCTTTACCCCACTCTCTCTAGCATGTAAGCTCATTGAGCAGGGACCTCAACCCCTCTGTTTCTGTGTGTCAAACTTGTCTGATTACAATTACATGTTCGTTAGTCCACCCACTGTAAAGCACTGTGGAATTTGTTGGCGCTATATAAATATAATAATAACTAATCAAGGGCATTTGATAAGCAGTGTCTGCTACTTAGTTTCCTAATTTCTGTAGAAGCAGTTTTTAATTTTTGTTTTATTTTTGTTAAACAAATCATGACTCGTGTAATATATCATGTGTTGTTGTTCATCTGAGGTTGTATTTAGCTAATTTCAAAACCTGCTAAGGAACAGATTGTTATTATTTCCTGATATGTAAAATCATTAAATTCAGAGACGGTTTAGTTTCTTTTTTCGCATGAGTGTACATATACACCATTTCAAATGGTTTGAGGACTTACCCTGGGAGGGTGCCAGGGTAGGGACTTCCACAATACCTGCTACAAAAATGGTTATATGGTATTATATTGTTACATTGGATTTAGGAAAGTATTAGACTTCTATAATAAAAAAACAGTATTAGTTTTATACATATATTCCTGTATTAAAGGTTAATTTAGAAAAGATTAGCAAACTAAGGCATAAAATTATACTGATCAAGACAAGCTTAGATGGTTTGGAGTGAGAAAATTCTAATGTGTTTAAATATATTTTTATACTTTATACAAATTCATCTCCCAGTAACAGATTCATGAATTCTGTGTGCCTTCCTGCCAAATACTAACCCGACCCACAGCCAGTTTATTTTATAGAAAGGGATTTGCCTGCAATTATCTCTAATTACTGTCTGATTATCTCACTAACATTTTAGCCAATCATGACGCACACAGAACTTTTTTATATCCTTTATTTTATGTCACCTTCAGTCACTCCCACCACAAGCCCAATGACCTTCCTTTACCCTACTGTAAATTGCATGCACACAACCAATAGAAGCCTTCCAAAGACTTATTCATTTACGTGTCCATTGTTAGGTATTCAAAGTGAATTTCAAATTTTAGGCCTCAATAGCTAAATTAAAAATAAATTAATTAATAAAAAAGTAATCTCCAGCTCAACTTTGTTTTTAGCTTGGATGTTGGACCAAAAATTTAAAATACATTTGGAATTCCTGATAATAACCCTGTAAACATATGCATATACTAATTAATTATATCCCCAAATCAGCTATCATATTAGCCATTGTTGCCATTTTGCAATTTTTCTTTCAGTTCGCTGAAATTAGGTTTTTATATTGAACAATGTACCCAACTTAAATTTTACAGCTTTGAAACAGTTTTGATGCTTAACGAGTAAATGTGCATTTCAATAATTAGAAGGCAGCTGCAGTGGGTAATGTTCGACATGAAAGTAAAAAATACACATCTATAGCCCTATGTGTGAGCTACATTGAAAGGATGATTTTTATACTTGTTGACATTTATAGTGCATATTTTGTTTTATGAGTGTAAGGCATATGTAAAAAGATGCAGGATAGTCAAGAAAAAGCAATATATGTTGATTCAAAGGGGGCACAGTGCATTTGTTTAGTCATTTTTATTTTGGAATGTTTAACATGAAAGCTGTTTTATATTACATTATACATACCTTAAACGAGATATATGAAATCCAAGAAAAGACAGCACAAAGCATACATTATTTATCTACTTAGAATTATGAAAAATCAGTAAGACCCTTTCGTTTTTTTTTTGTTCCTCGAAATTTTGATCATTTATATAGCGATATTCCTTTACATTCCATGAATCTTTCATTCACTTACTCATGATTCATCAACAATGCCTCCTGCTAAGACCCTTTTTAGTCCCCTGATAAATGTGGAGACACGTGTGGTATTCTATAAACTATTATATAACTTGAATCTATAATCCAATAAGAAGCAAACACTGACAGTTTTGCCCTGTATGAACTTCTGCGGTAGCTGAAACAACTCTCTTGAGAGTCTTTTTCCCAATGTTTTTAATTTGTGTTATTGAATTAGATATTTAAAAGTAATTTCTTTTTGAATGGTTTTTGGTTGGACTTGACCTACCCGTAGAACTGACCCAAACTGAGTCCATATTAACTGTACTTCTACTTTTTCCCAAGTTTGGCTGTTTAATGCAGTTTTCCTTAAACGTGGCAGTGTTTCAGACTGTGAGGGGCCCTGCTGAGCTCAGCTGGCAAACTGGTTCCTGGGGCAGTACTTGCCTTATTTCTAATTCTTTTTCTATAATTTCCATATATTTCCACTAATGCTCCAGTCTGTAAATTCCCAAAGTACCTCTTGTCTCAAATTCTCTCATTATCTCCCTCTATTAACTCCAGATTGTGAGCTCACGGGCATAATAAACCTTAAAATATCATTTAAATGTTAAATTGCAAGCTCTCCAGTGGGGTCGTTTTTGGATCATTATGTCTATATATTATACTATGTTTTCATAGTAACATAATAGGACCTAGACCAGGCTTCCCCAAACTCCGTCCCTCCAGATGTTGCTGAACTACAACTCCCATGATTTTCAGCCTATCTATTTAAGTCATAGAATCATGGGAGTTGTAGTTCAGCAACATCTGGAGGGCTGAAGTTTGAGGAAGCCTGACCAAGACTAATAAGTAGCGCAAAAATCCATCTTCAAGATCTCCAGCAATAGCGTGGAATTGAAGTTTATTCTAACATCATGACCATGACCTTATTTCTTCATTTCCGGAAACTAACTCCATTACAATGAAAGAGCCTTGTACATTGATTATTGTAATTATTCTAGCAGTCGGTGACCACAAGAAGGATTTATTAAACAATGAATTCAGGATAGTTGGCAACCAAATTTCAAGATATACAGCAAACCTTCCCTGTTATAAAATAAAATCCCCATTTCCAATTCATTTTTTATTTTTTTTTAAAACACAGCTTTGTTGGCCTTAAATTTCTACATCGATGTAAACCCATTGTTAAAAGAATAAACACTTTAGTGTTTTCATCAGATTGCATAATCGTTTAATAAGATTTGCGCTACTGTTTCAGGTTTGCTACATGAATTGCATGACTCCAATTTTCATCCTACCCCCTCCAACATCTCCAGATGATTAATAATAAAAAGTGACATAAGCCTAGTGTTGATTTTTTTTTTTTGCATCATTCTAAAAATGAAGTAGATTTTGTGTATTGATCTGTATCTACAGACCTAAAAGGGTTAATGAAAGGTAGAAAACAATAAATACACTGCAGATCAATCACTTGTGTTCTAGCATCAATTAGACATTGCAGAACACCATTAGAGGTAAAATCAACATACAGTTAAAAAAGTTAAGCTGATTAAAAGTTGAGGCCAAAACAGTTGCACCCCCCCACCAAAAAAAAACAACCAAAAAATCATTTTCTAATTTGATTGTTATTACTTAATTTGCAGTTTACATATTGCCATTACTACAAGTTTCCATTCAGTGAATAACCTCCCTCCCCTTTAAATAGAAGCAGCGTCTCACATTAAATTGTGTGAGCGTTACTACCAAAAGAAATAAACGGATAAACAAACAATAGAGATACAATAAAATTTTATGGTTTATTTCATATTTTACATGAAACCACTTTTCGCTGTACAATTTACAAGGATTTTTTATTATTATTATTAAAAAAGACCGGTAACACTAACACATAAAATGTGTATAAAAGACATTGTTTTCTCTCTTTCTTTAACAAAAAGTTATACACAGTTATAAAAAAAAAAAATCTGGGGCAGGTATTGCAAAGCTCTTTCAAGTGCAAAACAGTTTATACAAACAGGAGCAAAGTCTCTGCACAAAGCTTTCCTTGATAAATTATTTAAATAGCATATCTACAAAAATATCCAATACACTAAACTGTAATACAAACAAAATCATTTATACAAAAAAAGCAACAAAAATACTAAAATATAGAAAAAAAATATTACAATATCCTTTATTTAAAAAAAAAAAAAAAAACATGTTTAAAATACTTTCCTGGGGATAAACAGTCATTATAACTATTTACAAAACTGAATAACACTACAGTAGATTTTTAAATGCAAGTTAAATATTTATCCAATTTTTTTTCTTTCCTCTTGAAACACAGACATTTCTATTGCTCAGTCGCACAATGAGGTAATATTTGTATGTGAAGTTTAAACTTTTGCTTTTTTCTTTTGTAAATATCTTTGCAGAAAGGAACTGTTTACCTGCTGAAATGTAATTAGGTTGTTATATGACTATAGAGGCACATATGGTTTACATTTAAATGTTTAGCAAAGGCAGACTGCCATTTCTTGGCTCTCCACCCCTCTTGCCTTGGTCTCCCTCCGGTTCTTTTCAAAGATCAACATAGCTGTCTCGCCTTCCGAAAACACAGATCTATAGCGTAGCCTGAATTATGGACCCTTGTAAATACAACTTTACTAACCACACAGACGAATGATCAAGATTTACTCTGTGTTTTGTACAGTCAAAAATAAATACATGTACATTATGTTCTGGATGTTTTCCTGTAACAGTTTTTTGTCACCGGCTTGCTATATTGTCTGCCATCTATATTTATGTCCCTTTGTAACCATTTCAATGTCCATACAAGTACCAATAACTGTGTTGAACCTACTGGTCCGTTATGTTGAGCAAACATTTTTTTGACAAAAGCAGGAACAAGTGCATCACTACTAACTCAATTAAATATACAGTTTATTCGAAACAGTCTCTCGTACGTACGCACATGCAAACGAACACTTACACACACATATGCTACATCCAAACACGTTAATTTAGGCAGTGATATCTAGAACATTTATACACAACTGGGTTCAACTCTCACATACATCAGCTCTGAGACCGTTCTAGCTACATATGCAGACGACATATCCTACGCTGATGATTCCATGTTTTTTTTTTTTCAAACAGCAAAAGGTTTTTCTGTGAAAGCAAATTTGTTTCTAAAATATTGCATCTTTTCTCTTTAGCAAAAGAGCAGCCATTCCAAAAACATAAAAAAATAAAAGTAAAAATAAAAATAAACATCATGACAATTCTTTGAGAACACGAATTGTTGGATTATTTAATGTCCACATGGAACATAAGCCTATGAAAAAGTTCCAAAGAAGTCTTTATAAAAATGTATTTTATAAAAAAGGTATTGCTTTTGTATACCTATTATATATGTATATATGTTTTTTTCTTTCTTTCTGCAGTTCTTGCATAAAAGCTCTGCCAGGCACTAGGTGGAGAAAGACTTTTGGGCTGTACTGCATCTGGCCAGCCCAGCTATCGACCCCAAAAATACTCATTAAGAAAAAAAGTCCAATTTAGTTCATTGTTCTAATGTGCATTGCAAGTTTTAGAAATCAATCAATTGTTATCTTCCAAAACCATAACAAAATATTTTATCATAAAAAAATAAAATAAAAAAGATTGTAGAAATGGTTTGAATGATAGTAAATATCTAACATTTCCGAAGGTGCTGAGAAGTTTTCTTAACATTCATTGAATGAATAACGTCCAGATTTAGGAGTCTGAAAAAAAAAATAAAAAGATTTTATTAGAAAAATAAAAACATTGTTTCTTGTAGATGCATCAATTCGATCTTTCATCATATTGAGGATGTTTTATCTATAATTCAAGGGATTTTACTTAAAAGCACTTTAGTTTTTAAGTAGTGCCAACATCATTGATCATTTATATGGGGATTACATCATTATATATCTATGGACCATGTCTGGGGCTATATGACATAAAATGGTAATGGCTAACTTGAAATTATCAAAGGGAACATTATTCTTGTGGAATGTTCTCATGATGGCAGACTATAAATTTTTATGGTACAGGTTCATGAATTTTATACATGTTTATTTTGATATTTCTAGGTACTTTTTTTTCCTTTTTGACTCACCTCTACATTCATATTTTAGATCGGAGAAAAATACCATCTCTTGTGAGAAGACAAATAAGCCTAATCTTCCTCCAGCATATGTTTTATCATAGATTGGACCTGAGTCGGCCATAACTTTCTTGCCTTCGTGCATCACCACCCTGAAAAAATTACAGACATTAAAATCAAATTCTTTATTTATATATATGAACAATAAGATTCCTGACTTCAAATTTGTTTAAACACACATTTTATGTGGGAAAAAACCAATTAAGAAATTGCTAGCAAACATATGAATCAAAACCTTACTGATTCTGACTGACACCTTCATAGAACAAAACAGACTTTGTTAAAAAAAAAAAAAACAACTTACTAACTAGATTTTGCTTCATGTTTTTTTTTTTTCTATCAATCACACAATACATAATTCTAAAATGTTCTTTTGGTTAAAAATTTATTTAGTTATACAACGAATAACGTGGTCACACAGTTTGAAGAATAGTTTTCTGCTATCATGAGTGAGATATTGTGCTATTTAGAATGTACATTGTTACTGCTCATATAAAGCAGTAATCACAAAAGTTTTTATGTCTTACCGAATAAAACCAGTCTTGGGTCTGTGGGTCAAATGCCATCTGTAAGCTGTAAAGTCTTTCCATCCTGTTTGACGAGGGTCGTGCCACAAAGTACGGACCTAATAAATATATTTGTATTAGATACAGTAGCTAGAGTAATTGCAGTATTACATGTCAGTTCAACCCTTTAAGTGCTAGCAGTATGTACAGTAACAAAAACTTAGCATTTCCAAAAAGTCACCTCAAAATACAAAGAGGCATTGCTATTATTATTGTGTGTGTATATATATATATATTGACTTGCACTTCCCCCAGTTCTATTCAGAAACCATTAACTAGTAAGAAGTTTTAATGTTTTAATGTGTTTTGCTTTTTCATGGAGACTTACTTGTCCTGCAGTATTTCCAGTGTGCCAAAGAGCATTACGAAGGTGTTCGCCTGGTCCAGTGGTGGAATTCACAACCTTGATAGAGAGGCCTGAATATCCCTGAGCTTTAGTAGGTGTTGTATCCCAATACGTCTGGGTTATTTGCTTCCACATAACCACATAAAAGCGGCTGCTTGACTGATAGCCAAACACAAACCCAGCATAATCATCGTCCCTCTCGGTGTTGATGAAAAATGTTCCACTAAAGTCAACGGCACTAAATTCATCGAAACCTAGAAAGCACAAAAGAGAAAATATTATGTAGTCCAAATCAATCACAGTACCTTGATGTTACACAAAGTTATGCAATGACACGCTAGTGATCCATAGGAATTTATTTCCTTGTTAAAAAAATATATAGTTTAAAGACTTTTGTAAAAACCTTGACTAGTTTAATGAAAAACCCCTTGCATACTCCAGGGAGATCTCAATGTTTGTGTATGCAAAACAATATAATTATAAAATCATAGTGAAACATGGAATATTGAATGTGCTAATCAAGCACTTAATAGTTCTTGTTTTGGATTTGAATACTACTACTACTACTTACCAACAGCAAGCCCAGGATCACAGTTGACAGTCTGTACCAGTTCTTTGCCTTGATGTCTGACCACCCAGTTGGGATCAATTTGTGAAGTCCCTTTAGGATCCAAAGGCACCATCTGGAATTTACGGAAATCTGTTGTGCTAATGTCGACATTTTCAGGGCAAACATCTTCAGAGTCAGGAATCTTATCATCATCAAAGTCAAACTGGCAAACATCTCCACGTCCATCACCTGATTAAGAAAATAAATTATTATTAATCAGTATACAATTTAAAGCCATCACACATGCAAATATTTCAAACATTGAAAGGATTAGTTAATTATTATATCTAATAGGAAAAGTATGACTTATTTGTGAATATTCTATTTATGAATATGCTAAAGTTCTAATTTTATCAATTTGTTCCACAATCTCCTTTAAAGTGAAACCCAAATGGAAAACTACAGACAATATTTCCTAAAAATCTGTTGGTAATTTTTATTTTCTTATGAAGCCAGAAAACTGATAATGTAGATCATTAAGCTGTGTGTTATGAAATGACTCTCACCGTTACTATCGATCTGGTCAGGGTTGTAGACAAGTCTGCAGTTATCTTTATCATCAGGAATTCCATCATTGTCATCATCATGATCACAGGCATCACCCTTGCCATCCTTGTCGTGGTCTGCCTGGTTAGCATTGGGGATGTATGGGCAGTTGTCCAGGTTATTCTGGTGTCCATCTTCATCAATGTCCTGGTTGCTGTCACATTTATCTCCAATAAGATCTGAATCTGAGTCAGTCTGGAAGTGGAAGAAAGCCATGATGAAAATGTGTATAAAAGAACAAGGCTTTAAGAAAACAATATGATGAGTGCTTTGTGAAAACTGACGTGTAACATCTTGGCCACTTAATGAGTGGTTAAGTTCTGACCAAATGAGGTTGGTCCGAAGTTGTTTTGCATCGTTTTAATAACAGAGCGTGTATGTTAATGCAATGTGTTTTCTACACTTCAGCTACTTCCACTTATGAACTCACACTCCTACTCTAACAGAAACACATCTCAGAGCAGTAAGCAAACTGGCAGAAGTTGCAGCTTTTATCGGAAATGTAATTAGTGTCTTAGCGATCAAGCTGAACTTGACTCTGGAAGATATCATTTTGTTACAGAAGGTTATTATCGAGAACATAAAAAACAGGAGTGGACGGACATCTAAACTTTGTATATCTTTCAAAAATATTTTAATCCTCAAAGCTCCACTTAACACTTTATGAGAAAATACTAAGTTCAAAGCGGTATTTTCAATGTAATCAAGGCCAGTGTGCCAGGGAGTAACCTCATATAAGTCTCCTATTATGTGGCATTAATTCTGGTACAAAAAGTACTTCCTAAAGATAATTATGTGAGAACCCATTTATTTTTCTCATGACAAAAATCTGTGTAAATGCTAGGGAATTTTTGCTTGTGTTCAGCTTAAAACAGAACAATACTGTAAGATTAATGTGATAAGTTTTACAAAAGTAGTTAATCCGTGACATGCGGAATGGCACAGACTGGTTAATCTAAATTATCATTCTATTGGTTGCCAGAATAACATGTTCCTTTCTTAGTCCTGGCAAAGCAGGACAGACTCTGGAACCGTTAACAAATTTGTCTGGCAGCATGCTCTCAAACAAACTGGTTAAAGCAAGTGTAGCCTTTTTAGCTATTTCTATACAGGTTATTAATATATTTTTATTATAACTCTTTTATTATCTGCAGAGACGTTTAATCATTAAACGTTTTTGTGTTAAAAGTACCTATGAGTCAAAATTCTGTATAATGCGATCTGATCTTTATAAACATTTTGAATTTCTTAGAGGGAGACCAGTTTTTTTTTCTCTGTCCTAGAAAATAGTTGCTAATAAGTTACTTATTTGTTGAGTTAGAAAATTTCACGTTAAGGTTTAATAAGCCTGGCAGAGAAGTTTCAATACCTTGGTATATCATTCCAGTTTAACCCTATCATCAGAAAGCTGAAGAACAATGCTGTGCTGTAAGGCACATTAAATATGAAGTTCAAGTTAAGTAAATATACCTGTTCTGGATTGTGTTCCAATGGACAGTTGTCACATTGATCACCGACACCATCCATATCTGTGTCCTTCTGATCTACATTGTATACATAGGGGCAATTGTCTCTTTCATTGAGGATACCTGTGGTGAGATAGAAGATATGACATGTGCTGTTACCATATGTAACTAGGCATAATATAAATTATAAAAAAACTCTAGGAAATTTTTATTCTCTCTAAACAAACATGTTCTCAGTGTTATAAATACAAACAAGTACATTGGATGTAGACAATGTTTGACTGCTGGAAGGCCATTAAACTTTAGGTAACATTTAATCAGAGACTATCGAATTTAAAAAATAACACTAACCATCTCCATCAATATCCACTGCACAGGCATCTCCTTCCCCGTTATTGTCTGTGTCAGCCTGATCTGGGTTGTGATTATAAGGGCAGTTATCACAGCGATCTCCCACATCATCGCGATCATAGTCGTACTGAGCCGGGTTGTAAATGAAAGGGCAATTGTCCTGGGAAAAAAGAAAACAAAATTGTTAATAACTTAAGCAGTCCGATGTCTAGCTAGTTATCGTGTTCTGGAAATACACCTCACAGGACCTTTTCTGTCATTAAATCTCTTTTGCAAGTCTTATCCAAAATTCCTATTTTTACCCTGCTTGTCAATAGTACAACCAATTATATGATGTACAGATACAGTTATGCCTTGTTTATCTGCTATTAAAAATCCATTCCTAGAGAGGGTACCATTCAGGTCGGTTATAAATAGGATAAATTAGCAAATTTACTTTTACTATTTCTACATCCTTTATGGGTAACCTTGGTTACCCATAAAGGATGTAGAAATAGTAAAAGTAAACTCGCTAATTTATCAATCAAAATGTTATAGATTTTATCCCTAGATAATCACATTTTTAGAATGTACTTATTTCCCTTGAGGCTATTTTATACTGGCTGAAAACAGCATGAATCTCCATAATGAAGAAACCATGGACAGTTAAATTCTAGAATGTGATATTTTTAGCTCAAGCTGAGACCACTGAATGCTAGTCGGTCCAACTGAAAAGTGACACATAGATGTTGGAATCTGCGAATTGAGGATAGGGAGCATAACATCTGTGTGCTTCAACTTCTGTTACTCTGCTGGTAGCTAACTTTGCTCAGGAAGCCAACGGTCAATTTCACTTTCAAAGTCCAGTCTTAGCAAAACACTTCATAGTAAAACATAGCCAAGAAATTTCGCAATTTACTAGACAAATTTCACAATGACATGTTATTTTTATGGAGGAGGAAGAAGAAGCAGTGTTTACTTTCCAGCTGGGATGTTTGACTGTGCGGTAGGCAAGGAAAGTAACCTGACCAATAAATTAATATGTATTTTGCATTCTTACCCTATCGTCCGGGATTCCATCGTTATCATCATCACTATCGCAAGCATCTCCAATTCCGTCTTTATCATAATCTTCTTGTCCTGAGTTGGGAAGGTTGGGGCAGTTGTCCTATAAAGGGGGGGGAAAAAGTTAGTCTTGGTTTCTGAAATAAGTAAATGGAAACTAAGGCTATACTACTGGTCACTGAACCTGTCCATAAAATTGAATGCTACAAATCAAAATCCATTTACTAAATTTTCTGTGTGATACATGATTTATGGCTTCCCACCTAAAATTAGGTTGTGAAAAATAGTTTTGTTTAAACTAATGATGGAATATGGAGTCATATTGTGTCATATCGCTATGTAATATATTGTATAGTTTATAATGTTAATATTCACTTTTAAACAGGTACTAAAAGTAATCTGTGGGGCATTTTGATACTAGTTTAAAGATAACATAAAAATGGTATAAACCTTCACTAAACCACTTACCTTCTTGCAATGATAAGTAGCATTATCAACACATATAAGGTTTTCATTTGGCCATCCATCTAAATCTGTATCTTCTCCACAGATGATGCCATTGCCAGCATATCCTGGTTTGCATTCACATCGGAACATGGGATCAGTATAATGACCGAGGTATATACATCTTGCATTCTTGTTGCAGTTATGGGTTCCATCAGTGCAAGGGTTACGTGGTTTGCAAACCTACAAAATTCAGGGAAAAAAAAAAACCAACATAGGATAAGTGTCATTATAACATATGGTTAATCAAAGATTCCCATATCTGAGTTAAATCTATCTTATCATCATTAAATTCCATTTATTGTTTAGTTACTAAAAGACTTTTTGGAATATACAGTAACAACAGGCAAAAATGAGCAATCAACCAACAGAGAATATCATGAGACCAATTGAATATTATCTCTGTATTGTCTGAAAAATGGGTCATACCTGTTTGTTTGCTGTAGCATCCTCAACACTTTTTCCAAAAGGTTGTGTCCCTGCATAACGTGGTGGGCAGGGTAGACAGTTGTAACCTGGCTCTGTGTTTTCACATCTGTGTACTCCATTAAGAGTAAAGCAGGCATCAGGTACCTCTTTGCACTAAGAGAAAATATGAAATAATGATTATTTATGAGGAAAAAAACATCAACGAATGGAGTCGGTGATTTAAAAAAATAAATAAAAACTTTGGCAATAAGTGGAGACAGACTAAAATTATCGTTTAATATCGTACTGATATCTTGTTTAGAACATGGCATTATCATTGTAGTTATAATACAACTGTTCTACAGCAACAGATGGAAGGTCAAGGTGAGTCACTCCTAATTTAGTTCCATAAATTTTAAAGTATACAGCAACAGAAAACCCCATAAGAAGATATCGGTCAAGGATTCAAGACATTGCTATAGTTCCGAGAAACCATGACAAGTCCCATTTTTAAAAATAATATTTACCTCATCTACATCTTTGCAATTAACTCCATTTCCTCTGTATCCTGTAGGACAAGCACCACACTTCCATGACCCGTCAGGGAAGCTTGTACATTTAACTCCAGCAAAGCATGGATTGGAGAGACAACCATCTAAGGAAAAAAAGCAGGTTAGTGTGAGGTGGCTCAAAAACAGATATTGACAAGGGAAACCTATCTAAAATAAGTAGGGTACCACTAGCTTACCTATTGGGCAGTCCTGCTTGTTGCATATCCGACTATCATCAGGTTCTCCAAGACATTCTTTACCACCATACTGAGGCTCAGGGTTGTTACAAAGACGTTGACGTTTTTGAACACCTCCACCACAAGTCACACTGCATGTGTCCCATGGTGAATATGGTCCCCACTGGCCATTAACTGAAAACAAGTATTAAACATGTCCATTAATCAAAAGTTGAATGAAGCAACAACCAAATTCATTAATTTACCAGTAGCTTTTAAAGTCGAAATTTATTTAAAATAGTGAGTCATTCATGTCATCAACAAAAAAGAAGATATGAGGGCACTGTGGTGCCCACCTAATGACCTTTAGCAGGGCTTCATTCTAAAAGTCCAGCAATAGCTGGAATGTTGACATAATACATATTTTTTAATTAATCTCTTAAAACTCTTATTTGAGTTTTTATCCAGGCTATTGAACAGAGAGTGCAGATATACTAATACAAAGCTACAGAAATGTTCACAAAAATATTACAAAGTAGTGAAAAGACATACTGGGGCATGGGTCTTTCTGGCATGGCTTGTTTTCTCTTCCTTCTCCTTCACATGGTTTTCCATTCAGTTGAGGAACAGGTGAGTTACAAAGACGGATTCTGGTGATCTGACCATTTCCACAGGTCACGGAACAAGAAGACCAAGGAGACCAGTGGCTCCATCCACCATCTTGCTTGACTAGAAAATGAATACATATATTTGTATATCATTACAATTGTCTGGTACATTTTAAAATTTTTACTTTGGAATGTTTAGGTAGCTATGTCATACTCACATCTCTTATCACATTCTTGGATATGACATGACCTGGTCTGAACAGAGGAACCTTCACAGCGGTTATTAAGACTGTCACAGGAACGACCTCTCTGTTGGACACCATGCCCACAAGTCACAGAACAAGCTGTCCAGTCAGACCATGGAGACCAACCATCATCAGCGGAATCACTTGCTAGAAATACAAAATTAAAATAACATCAAAGATCATACCATATCAAATTTGCAGTTTCTTAATATAACATGCAAATGACTCATTACAAAATAAGTTTATTACAATTAATGCTAAGACATAGTGCCATAAATATTTTACATGGAATTGATTTTATTATTAATGAGTCATGCTTGTTAAGAATGAAACATTTTATTTTATTTTTTTAAATAAAACGGAAACATGCCAAGCCAACAGAAAAATGAATCACACAGGACTGAGCAGGTCTCAATATCAGTCTCCAGGTTTGCAGATGTCCCACTCTCATGAGACATATTTTATCTTTTCTTGAATCAACTTGTCCGGTACGTACAAGATTACCATCTGCATATTTCTCATTTCATCTTTTGAAAATGAGTTGTTTTGCCTGAGGCTTTAGATACACCTTTCCATTTAAAAGTGTTTATGCAGGTATGTAGTAAAGGCAGATAAATATGCTTCTGCAACAGTAATAGATCATATATTTGTTTTTATTTTAAAGTTGAAAATTATATGTATATGTATATAATGTTTAACTTGAAGATAAAAACCATAAATATATGATCTATCACAGTAAAACTAAATCATCACCTATGATGACTCGGCGGTCCCCAACTGCCACACCACTAATTATTCAGACATGTAAAATAAACTTTAATCTGATGGTGTGTGTCCTTAGCATAGCTATTATGATATTACTATTTTGAACAGCTGTATATGAGTACTTACGCCAACATCTGGGGCAGCATTCTCCATCTGGAATGGTGGCATTAGTGCAAGGGACCAGTGGACAGGACACCTTGTGGCAAATGGTTGCAGAATTCTGAATAAAACCATAAACAGCAGCATTTACGTTATTAAATGTGAAATTGCTTAACATGCAAACACAAAGAATTACAACACTGTGGTATACATTGGTGCTTCATAAATAATATTGGGATGTAAGCATAGCTAAAAAAAATTATCTGATCATGGAATTTGGCTAAAATGTGTGTCTGTGTAAGTAGGATTAAAAAAAATGTTAAAGGAAAATTGTGTTATTTTAATGTGAAATGATACCAAAACATCAGCAACAAATGTGCTGTACATGAATCGTATGGGACATGGCTGATTGCATATTTTATGGGTTTATTTGATCTCTCCTCACGCTCAAATACATCTGAGTGCAAGTTACAGCAGGTCTTTCACAACTATTTTCCTTGTAGTCATGTTAAGCCAGTTATAATTATGGCTTTCATTTTCAAGATCATAGAATCTGATTTGACAGTATACAAACTTCAGTCCTGTGTGTCCAGAATCACACATAAGTATGGTAATGAGTTTACAGAGGAGATATATGGAAATTCAAGCCCCACATTACATCAATATGAACAATAACTGACATATTTTTAATAACTTCTGTAGAGTTAACATTAACTAAAACTATATCTCTAGACAGGTTGGGAGTTACACTTTATCATTCTGCAGAAAACAAACCATTTTTGTATTATGTATATTACCTGGCAAGTGCATTCTGTGCAAGCATCAATGGTCCATTCGTCAAGGTTGTTGTGCTTGACCCCATTGTGAAGGCACATACCAGGTGTGATCTTCACCACTTGCGCAATAAGCTCATTTTCCTCAGTCTAATAAAAACAATGACAAATAATATATATTTTTAGATACGTTTAATATAGTTTTGTGGAAAGAGGTATGTCTTTTCATTAAAATTACTCTATTGTGTGTGAAGTGGACATTCTGCGGATCTTTTGTAAAGTGAGGGCTATGGAATTTTTATGTAACCAAAAGTCCACATTAGGACTTGTAGAATTACTTACCACTTTGCGGACATTGTCCTGGAGATTCGTGATAATTGTCCGTAGGCCTTTCAATTCCAGAAACATACTGGCCAGATCATCACATGAAATGCCACACACAGCATGTAGGTCTTTTGTTTTGTGTCCAATGTAATTTGTTCTAATTGCTGGACTTGAGCCATTGACTGGATTGTCCAAAGTAATTACGGAATTTGTCACTGAAATGGCACAAGGACAAAAACACAAATTACAAATACTGCTCATTCTTTAAGGAATATGAGAATAGGGGAATTGCCATTCTAACGAACTATAAAGTGATTATCTGGATATAATTATAGCGTTATTACATATAAAGATATATATTTTTTAAATACATACATATAACTATTGATAGTAGATTTAAGGGAATTACTACTAGATTCAAAGAGCTATTTCCTGCATCAAATCATGTTAATTTATGTTACTTAACAATGTCACCATGTGCTCCTGTACTTAGTTATGAGCCCCAAGTCATACAGCTTAAAGTTTTGGCACAACAGGTCCTGAAAGATCTCAGTTGCCAAGATATGTGCTACATTGCCCTGACATTGACGCATGAGAAACATATTGCTTTGGCTGTAGCTACAAGCAGCTGAAAATGTTGCGTCTACTTACAGCTCGAACATCCTTTGTTTCTCAGAATAGCATCCAAAGTGGTTCCAAACACAAAACGTAGGTTTTGAAGAACTCCCTGGTAAGAAACATAAAACAATATTAATTGACGCATGTCAATTCTATAACAAAAAAGAGTTTTCAAATATAATTTTAGTTACTGTTAATGTTTACTTTATTGTTCACATTTAATCTATTCAATTCGATATATCTATCTCCCAGTGTCGATGTTTTCATTTACTCTAATACTTCACAGGATCCCAAGCCTTTATTTGAACAGATTTTCCAGGTTTAGGTTTTGATTTGATGTTGTGCCAACACCATAGGGGAGTCCCATACTGAGATATAATGCATTGGTATTCCAACTAGCAAGAAAGATGTTAAAAAATACCTATGTACTCATCCGTGAGCTATTTTACAAATCTTGCTGTAACTCACCTCGAAGTTATCTTTTACTCCTCCTTTTGCTACCCTGAGCCTAGCAGTGCTTGCCAAATCTCCATTGAAAATATTCTGAATGGGGACATCTAGTTCAGCGTTTTCCATCTTGTCACATCCTACGTACAACTGGGCACGGTCTTCCTGTACAAATAGAGTGATATTCTTCCAGTGGCCAGTAGCCAGTAGAGCATCTTCAACAGAAACCACCTGTTGCTTGCCTTCACCACTTAGACTCAAGTCTAGAGTACCAGCACGACCATTGGATACCAGACTGAAAACATGCCCAGACCCATCCTTCCTTTCTACAGACAGAAGTGTTCCTCGAGTCTTCTTCGCTTGGCGCAAAGTAGCCAGTAGAATGAAGCCACGTTCTGCACGGACTGCATCGAGCAGATCCTGAAATTTATGATCTGGAACTGGGGGAATCAGATCAGCATTTTCAATTCTGTAGGCTGGGCTTGATGTATCAGGACCCTTTACTAAATGGACTCCGGCAGGTTTTCGGGAACCAGCCTTACGGGTAAACCCCGTTAACTCAAAGAGATCGAATACACTGTTATCATCATTTCCAGGCTCTGTATAAAACAAAACATGTGTAAAGAATAAAGTTGTGTTCTTGAACCATGTCAACTTCAAAAACTGGAAAAAATATTTATAACTTTATTCACCAAACAATGTGTCGATTTGAACAGATTACAAACTTTCACAACTTAGACTAATATAATAAAGTTGGGAAAAATGCGAAGTTCAGCCTAGTCGGCTAATTTGTTCTAAGTATTTCAAGTGACTAGAAGAATAAACCACACAACTCTGTAACAGAACCTTAATGAATAGTAATTATAACATGGAATTTTTTCTGAAGGCAATGCCTGTATATATTAAAACAACACATTTGTGCTAGTGCTCACAGGGTTAAAATCTACACAGTAATTTCACATATTGGAGAATAAAGTGATTCCTCATGTAGTGAAATATAGAAGGGGATAACCTGATATTATCTTTGCTAAGAATGTGACCTTTATATCCTAGCCAAATTTAATTTATGCTTGAGTAACACAGTGCTGCATGTACCTCCTGCTCTAATACGTTATGAAACTTCAATGTATATTTTAATGTATATATTTTACTGTTCTATACATTTTTTTTTTTTTTTTTAAATAAACACGTTTAACACAGGCATGTTAGAAATTACACTTGATTGTGGGATAAATACCATCCCATCCCGTACATTCACTAAAAATACCAATTGACTTTTGGGAATCCTAACATTCCGTAGAGTAGTTCTGGGGCAAAGTTCCAAAACAGTAGCTATCGCTATAGAAACCAGTGGACTGGTGCAAACAGATTGCACCACTATTAGAGACGCTATCCCCAAAATTACTGTTTGTATTATTATTTTATTTTTATTTTTTTACGGTCCTTTGTTGACTGGTATTGGATACCTCTATAAGAGAGATGCCACATCTCGTTTATCTTTTGGATCACTGAAAATTCATGAAGTCACTAGGCTGGCAGGTAATCTATGCCATTCCATACAAAGGTTAAATAAGCAACAATGACAAAGGAACAGTTATTTTTTCAGCTTACCTGCTGCTTGGTATGTCTGACAAACAGCCAACATCAACAATAGAAAAAGTCCCTTCATTATTTCTATACAGTAAAAACGTGGAGAACTCTGAAAAACACATATTTGGATAGATTAACACACTTATCATGAAAACCAGCTGTCTAACACACTAAAACTTGCTCTACTAATTAAACACTCAGACATTACACGTGCCAAGGCATTTTAACAGCTTGTAACCATAAGAAAGCAATTTCTTTGTGTCAGCAGCAAGTCACAAATTATACTGAATAATCTAAGGGAATTATTCGCTAAACTGTGAAGCACTGACAAGAGGATGACAAATTTTAGATCAATATAGCAGAACTAGAAAAATAAAGATTTTTTTTTTTTAAATTTGCAATGCCTTTGCCAGTTTTCCACAAATCAAAATTTTTATAAATAAAACTCAATTATATGGCAATATTTGTCTACAAATCTGCACTAGTTAAAAAAAAACAATAATAAAGAAATAAAAAACTGAAAATTATAGAATAACTTCTATGTGTGAGCAAAAAAGGGGATCATTTAAGAAAATATTTTTTTCCTAGTATTATTTTTTAGTATAATGAGAATATATTGCAACTATACAAGACAAGTTATATTCAAGTTCCCACTCAACCAAATAATAAGTAAAGGATCACTTGAAACCAAAATATATAGAAAAGAAAATGACTTCACCATATGCAAACAGAAAATGTATATGCTGACAGTAAAACGACTGTAATATTTATCATTAGAATATATGTTTTAAAAAACAATTGCTGAATGGAACAGACAGAACATGGGATAACTTTTTCCAAAACAAGTAGTTGTGCCTAGTTGTGGAACTGCTGACTGAACTGTCTTATCCTCTATAGTACAGTGAATGTTAAAATACTGGCATGCCATAAATCAACAGGCAATTAGCTTCAGCAGACCAAACAGGCAGAATTCTATTTCCAAATGCAAGAATTTTTACCAAGAAGAATCAACACTTGGAATCACCAAAAAAAATATAACTCAAATAATAAAAAAGAAAACTAAACCTAACCTAACCTAGAAATATAACACTATTACTAATACTTTATAAAATCATAAATAATTAAGCATCACATCACAGTAACAAAATCAGCTCATGTCAATCTCATGCAATACAGAGTTAACATCATTTTGATGAAGTGTCAGTTAATATCTCCAATAACACTTGCTGTATCAGTATTGTAGCACAGTTAGAATTGCACAGAATGGAAGTACCACAATTTGCTGTTAATCCAAACCAACAAAGTAGCAATGCAAAAAAAATAATAATAATACAGTAGCAACAGATAAACTAAGGATGTCATCTTACATTATTCTAGGGTTAGAAAAGCAGATTTCTCTCTGACTGCAGCAGGAGAGGGTGAGCTGGCTCTTCTGTGTGTCTGGATGAATGGGGACCTGTAGGATTCACACTAAACTCCTCAGTGTGTGTTATCCATGAGTTCTGTTTGAAAGGCTTCTCTGTGCTTCACATATAAACCAGCTCTCACATTCCTGGGGGCGAACCCAACCAATCAGAGAAGAGGCTGCAGGAAACGAGCTCCTGTTTATTCTATTACCTCACAACATGAGGGAGAGACACAGCTATCACACATACTGAATATTACAATGTGACGCATGCTGAGGAATTTCTTAATGACAAATTTCCAACTTTTTTTTTTTCCCCCCTCTTCTTTTTTTTTCATTTTTTTGTTTTATTATGCATCATGATAGAGCTATCCAGAAAAGGAAAACTACCATATATAACTTCATATACACAGACTGCCATCGAATTCATTTTCTACCTCCCTGTAGCCCTTTCCTAATTCATGACACACCGTTCATGTTTATGTGGAGCTGGTTTTTATAGGTTACAGTGGAGACTTGGCTTGAAAGACATAAACATGTATTTTATAACATAGACATATGGAATCATACTTACAAGCACACACGTTAATATGTGTGTAAATGTTTTGTATCCAAGAAGAATACAATATGTGTCTGTCCTCATGACAGACAGATCACAGACAGACAAACAGATGATAGATAACAGACATACAGATGACAGACAGAGATGATAGACAGATAGACAGACAGATGATTGACAGACAGATGATAGAATGAATTAGATAACTAGACAGACTATATATATAATCTCACATACAATGTAGTACAATTACACACATGGAAAAAAAGTTAAAAAATACTTAGGCAGACAACCTTATTGCTTTGATTGTTTGAGTATTTAGACCAGTAACAACAAAATTATTACAGATATAGTGTAGTAGGATTAACAAATTCAATATTTTACAATGAGGCGGTAATTACATTTGGATTCTACAATGATTAGTGTTATATGTTGCCCTGACATATGCATAGATTCAATTAAAATTGACAGACAACCTATTTACTGATGGTAGCTTGCATATTTATGAATTATTCACTAAAGTTTGCAAATGGTAGATAATTTAGATATGAACAGGTTAATACCAATGTATATACGGGTAATTAATGCCGTACACATAGGTCAAATGACATTAACGGCTGGCTATTACTCTGTTTAAAATTTGATTAAATTTTTCATATGCTCTTTATTCTAAAACCAAAGGGCTTTGTACAACACTGTCAGTGACATTGCTTATCCTTTGTTAACTCAAATTCTTCAAGCTACATTTTATATATATATATATATATATATAAATATATATATATATATATATACATACAATTATTATTTTATTATATAGCGCTATCAGATTCCGTAGCGCTGTACAATGGGATATATATATTTATTTATTTCTTTGTGTCAGCAGCAAGTCACAAATTATACTGAATAATCTAAGGGGATTATTCGCTAAACTGTGAAGCACTGACAAGAGGATGACAAATTTTAGATCAATTTAGCAGAACTAGAAAAATAAAGATTTTTTTTTTTAAATTTGCAATACCTTTGCCAGTTTTCCACAAATCAAAATTTTTATAAATAAAACTCAATTATATGGCAATATTTGTCTACAAATCTGCACTAGTTAAAAAAAAAAAACAATAATAAAGAAATAAAAAACTGAAAATTATAGAATAACTTCTATGTGTGAGCAAAAAAGGGGATCATTTAAGAAAATATTTTTTTTCCTAGTATTATTTTTTAGTATAATGAGAATATATTGCAACTATACAAGACAAGTTATATTCAAGTATAATTCAAGAATAATTCTGCACGTGTACATATTGCACCCAGTCAACAATTGATTTAGCAAAGAAATACTTCAGGTCCTTCATAAGATAATTTTTGTAGTGTATGATATTCACAAGCAATGTACTAAAATAGCCACAAGGGGGAACATGTGAGCTAGACCAAAATTAACTTTTAGCTATTCACATCTAGTTCCAAATACTTACATTGTTATAAACAAAACAATGAGATCAATAAAGTTTCTTAATTTAACTCATGTGCAATTTTATTTTATAAGTGAGCTGTTTGCTTTTTTTCTCTCTAAAGTTCAGACGTATTGATTCTTTAGTAAAAATCCATAGACAGACATTCCATTCATGTATTGTACCTGTGACGTCAGCAGGGAAGAATGAACTTTGGACAGGGAGCTTGTTTGACTACAGTCAGGGACAAAGGCAAACCAACTGCCAAGCTTTTTTTTTTTTTTTGCTGATAGGTACAAGAACACTGAGGCATCGCTTTCATATTTAGACAAGACTCACTTTTACATTCCTCTGTCTCACAGTTCTAATTGCTTTGGAATGAGCCTAAGATTTTGTAAGTCAGTGTTACTGCGCATCAACAGATTCTTTCATTTTTCTGATTGAAGACACTTTCTGCTATATTTCTGCTACAGAAATATTAAGGTAGCAAATTAAAAAGTGAGAGTAACTAGAAGGATGCACATTTTAATGTGTGTCTCTCTAAAGCAGGCTTCCCCAAACTTCGGCCCTCCAGATGTTGCTGAACTACAACTCCCATGATTCTTTGAATGAAATAGGCTGAGAATCATGGGAGTTGTAGTTCAGCAACATATGGAGGGCCGGAGTTTGAGGAAACCTACTCTAAAGTGTACATTGCTGGGAATGCAAAGTGAATTTAAACTTTTAGCTGAACTTTAACCATAGCTGACCTGGAGAATAGTTAAAGTTTAGCTATTGTGGCCTAAATGTTAAAATCCACTTAGAATTTTTGATAATTCATACTTTAGTGAATAAGTCACTAAACACTTTTATTTGTACACAACAATGTCCATTTATGTTTGTGTTGCCAGGAGAAACACACAATCTCCGGTGGTCAAGGATAGCATGTGGACGGACCAGATCGCCGTCATTAACCCACTAGTTTGCTCTGTGAATAAATCAGAATGACTATTAGGTTGTGCAGTAATACTTTGGCAGACATGCTCAGATTCTTTATAAAATGTTGAATTTAAGGTATAAGTGAGTGGAACTTCATCCAACATTAAGCACAGAGCAGCTGAGGTCTGCAAAGGAGTATAGCTTTCTACACAGTTGAGTCACTTCTTGAGTCATTCTTATGCATCCCTATGAGTATTGTATAACATTAACCATTTTCTTATCTTACTAGGCTATGTTTTTTTTTAGTGTGCTTTATTGTAAGTCTACACTGGTTTATTAATAAAGCAATTAATTAACATAGTCTGGTTAAAGTACCCAGTGCGAAACACGTTGACTGCTGTCACTACAAGTGAACTGCAAGCCTCTGTTTTTGTATGCTACTGAATGCTTTTAAAACCATACGTGGGGTGAAAAAATGTAGACTCAACATTATCGTTCACCTGGTCTCAATATCGCTGCTTTTTTTACATTGAACATGATACAGGGATCGGTGTTTGTGCAAGGTATGAGACCACCAGTTTTCATAAATCATAATGGCACAATGATTGTGATATTTTGACACATCAACATTTATGAAGGATGCAGCAAGCAGATATATACGTAATACATGTACATTGATTAACCTAGCCACAAATAGAAATGTATAAATCTTGGTCTCCTTAAACTAATTGCAATCTACCAATGTGCTAGAAATTTTTGGAATTATATTTATACCACTTGGCTGAATTAAAAAGATTATAAAGTTAATAAAATTATTTTCTTTAAATCTGTTGAAAGTTGCAAAGCAGAATAAAATATTCAAAAAAAATATGAAATGTCAGTGGTTTAAATGCAGCTTGTGATGGGAAATGGATATTTTGGTGTCTTTAAACAAAATTTGTTGGATTCTGGATTGAAGTAGAATATTTAGCTTGGCCAATTGTCTCCTGTGATGTTTCTATGAAATGATGTCCTAATCTGGGTCACTGTGTCAAATTCAGCTCTTTTGATTTACGCATTGGCTAATGGTTTTAATAAACCATCTCTGTAAATTTGTGAGCTTTTAGGCAAAGACAAGGTGGTTTTGATTTGATCCGTTTTTTATCGTTTTATAATCAATAGCATATTTAATTAATAGCAATAATTAAGGTGATTAATAAAAAGAATATTTTTTATCCACATGTATGACTTTCAGACAACCCAGTTGTGGAAAAAAAATAAAAGTTCAAGAAGCAAATGTATTCTAAATATGGAAAAAATAATATCATCAGCGGATGCATTTCCTATGGGACAAAAATATTTAAGAGCCTATTTTATATCTCGGCTGACAAATAACCAAAATATGAATCTAAATACATTTTTAAAATACTTACAATGTTTACTTTGCATGAGAATGACACATTCCATTTAAGGGTCACATCTACTAATGTTAACAAGAGGCTTCCCCAAATACTATACTATATGAGGAAATGTTTGATCTGCCAGTAGTATGAATAGGCTCGGGCAGTCATCATAGAGGAGCAGCTTATTTATATAGTACTCACTCAAAGAATATGTGTTTCTTAGTCAATGTTTCAAGTAATCCTTGCTCTTAAGTCCAAATATGCTGGCTTACAGTATTGCGAGATATGGTTATGGGAAAAAGAAAGTACACCCTCTTTGAATTCTATGGTTTTGCATATCAGGACATAATAGCAATCATCTGTTCCTTATCAGGTCTTAAAATGAGGTAAATGAACAAATGAACTTGACATATTATACCGTCTCTTGATTTATTTAACAAAAATAAAGGCAAAGTGTGAAAAATATAAGTCTGCTTTAGTCTACTCACAGAATTGCATTAATTGTCTGAGACAATGTAAGACAATGTAAGTCAATGAATGGAGACTGGATTGGCTTTTGACTTCTGAAGATGTGTCACTCAGAGGAGTGGAGCCCAGTGAGGACACAGGTAACAGGGCAAACCTTTGCTAAACAATTTGGCCTATTACTATTGACCCGGACCAGGGTACTACCGCAGACTGTAGTGGTTATGAGGTTTGGAGAAACCCTTTAAGTCTGTCAGTATATGTGTATCTGAGATTTATAAATTTTAAAAAACTCAGACTAGGACTGTTTCAAAGCCATTGCCACAAAGGCTTTTTGGGAATGGCAGATAAATTACTGTAAGATCTTGTAGATTTATAGTTGTGGAC